TAATGAACTGAGTGGTTCAATTCCAGAATCCTTTGGAAAACTACCAGCTTTAATATATTTGAATTTGAGGTCCAATCGGTTAACAGGTCCCATCCCAGCATCTTTGGGTGGACTTGTAACAGTACAAGCAATTTGGCTGTCTTCAAATATGTTAAATGGGACTATTCCTGTTTCAATTGGGCAACTTGCTAAACTCCAATACCTAGATTTGTCTAGCAATTCTTTAGAAGGAGTAGTTTTTGAAGACCACTTTGCCAACCTTTCAATGTTGAAGCAATTGGATATTTCTTCCAACATTAGGTTGGCGTTCAATGTTTCACGTGAGTGGATACCTTCATTTCAGTTGGTTTCTCTTCAACTTAGTTCTTGCAATATCGGAAATGAATTTCCACAGTGGCTTCGATACCAAAGGAAACTTGCAAGATTAGCATTGTCTAATACTACAATTTCGGGACCTCTACCTACATGGTTGCAGAAGATGCCCATCATTCCTTTCTTGGATCTTTCTCACAACAAACTCAAAGGACTATTGACAAACCTTCCCAACGGTGGAAATGTTAATGTAAATAGATATGATTACATGTCAATGTTCCTGGAAAATTACCTTTTCACCGAGTCAATTCCAAGGTCACAAGTCATGAAAAATGACATTTTCACTGCATCAATTCGAAGGTCACTGTTCCTGGAAAACAACCTTTTTATTGGGTCGATTCCAAAGTCATTATGTAGAAGGACGCATTTGGAATATCTTGATCTTTCCAGAAATAGGTTAACCGGGAAAATTCCCAAATGCCTTGGGAATCTTCAAGAGTTGCATACCATGATATTTAGTTCAAATCGGCTTTCTGGTATCATTCCGAGTTCCTTAGGTCTTTGTTCATCATTATACCGGTTAAAATTGAATGGCAATAACTTTACTGGTGAACCTCCTTCGGAATTGTGGAATTTACGAAATCTAGAAGTCTTGGATTTGGGTGATAATATATTTTGTGGAAGTATACCTGAATGGAATGGTGAAAGCCTTACAAATTTAATGGTTTTAAGGTTACACAAAAATAACTTCACTGGTCGAATTCCACAATCTTTGTGCAAATCTTCAAATCTTCAGATTTTGGATGTTGCATACAACAACTTGATGGGAAGCATACCTGATTGTCTAGGAGAGTTATATGCCATGCTATCTGGTAATACTGGCCTAGACTATCGGCGTTCTGCAGATAATGTGATTCAAGTCCTGAATGGTGTTGATCGTGAATATACAAAAACATGGGATCTACTTTTTAACATGGACCTTTCAAGCAATAAACTTTCAGGAGAAATACCGATCAAGCTAACAGCACTTGTCATGTTGATGGGTCTCAACCTGTCTAATAATCATCTCAGTGGGAGTATTCCATATAACATTGGAAACATGAAGAAGTTGTTTTCTCTCGATTTATCTGGAAACAAGTTGACCGGGATGATCCCTGCAAGCATGGCAGCTTTGACTTTTTTGAGCCATTTGAATTTGTCACACAACAACTTGTCGGGACCCATTCCAACAGGAAATCAGTTGCAGACCCTGGATGATCCATCAATATATACAGGAAACAAAGATCTATGTGGAGCTCCATTGCCAAATAATTGCTCCGTTCATGAAGACCCAACAACAACGCGCCAAAAGAAACACGAAACAGTTGATGAGCTGGAGAAAGAATGGTTGTTTTACGTGGACATAATGAGTGGTTTTGTGACAGGGTTTTGGGGTGTTATTGGAGTTTTGTTGTTCAAGAAGGAGTGGAGATGGAAGCTTTTCAGGTTTGCTGAGGAAACCATGGACAAGATAAACGTTGCCGTCATGATAAGAGTTGCCAAGATGAAGAGAGGAAGATAAGCTGCATAGATCCTCCAGAATGCAAGTTGTTCTTGAGTATGTATTTTCAATGATTGTTTGGTATGTAATACTGTTTTATTTATACTACTATTTGGATTTTATATTTGAATGGCATTTGTATGTTTATAGGTGTCAATTTTGAAACTTTTGTTGGATTTGGTGTTTATATAAAGATCAAATCGTTAGTATATCACAGTATAAAATATGCTATTATGCTCTCTTGCTCTCTACCTGCTGCTTTTCATATGTTTAAAGGTGTCGCTTTTCATGTACATTGGTCCAAGTAAGAATCATGTAAGGCTTATTATCTACATCTTCATTTGTACATCTTCTAGTTTTTCATGTACAAGACCAAAATGGTTGGGTGAAAAATCAAATATTTGTTGGATTTGGTATTTATACAAGATGATTGGTGCATCAATCACGGCGCCACCTTTTGTCAGGAGCTTACTTAGTTGACTTAAAATCCCAATTTTCGAATTTGTTCATCATCACAAACCAATCCTAATTTTCTAAATTTGTCCATCATCGCAAACCGATCACCATTTTCATCTTCACTACCATCATCTTAGTTAAGTCAAGAAGGGGCTGCAAATTTCTGTTTTCTTGATTTAGTTATTGTTTTCTATAAGGGTTTTCATGAAATTGGTCCTCACATTCGTTAATTGCTTTTGGGTGGGTCATGGGTGTTGATTTACTGATGGGCCCTTGCTATTTCAAATGTAGTTGGGTGGTTGTATCTAAGCTGGGTATGAATTTTTGATTGTTGAGTTAATGAGTGTGGGATCATAGTGGGAAAAAAGTTCCTTTTCTTTAATTTTGTTTGAAAACTAGAAAAGTGCCCCCGTTATTGCAGGGTCGGATTTAGATTAAGCGATATAGTTTATTCATTTATTTATTGGAAGGGAAACTTCATCTAACTAGCGGATTTGTTTTTCATCAGATGTTTGTAAATTGAGATCCTCTTATGGATTGATCCGATCATGAATATGATATTGTCTTTCATGGACAGATCATCCGATTTTGCCTCTTCAAGGATGTTCTTTAGGGTTTTGTACTCTTCTTGTGCTGGTGCTGTGGAGATGATGGTGTAAGACTGGTCATTCATGATGTATCCTTTTTGTAGCTTCGTCAGAGCTGCTTGTATGAGATCTTCGGCCTCTCGGACATTAAAGTAATTTAAAAAGAACAAAAAAGAAGAAATATAAATGAAAGTAAGAAATGACTTTTTAAAAAATAATTTTCTTGAAGATCCAATGTTACATCAATATTCCAGCATGTAGAGTACAGAGGTTGAATATTTCTTTGTATAAACTTTTTGGTAAGAAAACTAAATGTAAGATGTAAATCCAAGAAATGCAAAAACATAGATATGTAAATAAAAAAGTAAGAGTAATTCATATTAGGGGAATTCTGTCATTTCATTTTTTAAAATAGGATGTTATACTTTGAAAAAACTACCCTATTAACTATAATATTTCAAAGTGTTTGATCATAACTATAATCATGTTGCATTGGCCCGGGCTCACGTGTTAAGTCAGCCACCAAAAAGCCATTATATTATTTCTTCCAAATTTCCTTAAAATAAATAATAAACGTTAGAATTATCCTGAGTCACTTTTCAAAGTTTATAGGATCTATCTCCTAACTATGTTACAAAAAAAGAAAGGAATCGAAGATTCCAGAGTTTGTTTGATCTAATTCTAACCTTAATAGTTGTATCTTAACTTCCTGTGCATAAGGCATTGCCATTATGTGTAAGATTATGTGGCAGTCCTGTCAACATAAGAAATGCAACGTCAACATTCTCGGTAAGGAATAAAAAAGCATGTATTGATTAAAGTGGTTAGAAAATTAAAGGTATGATGGTATTATAGGATAGAACTTAAAACTAAAGTATGTTGCTCATATTTGTAAAACAGAGGAAAGTACATTGCTATTTTAGCAATTAACTTTTATTTTTAACTTAAAGCGATTAAGGTGGACAAAGACTTAATCTAGTAAGCTATATATGGGATTATGGGTGTTTATCTCTTACTCGATACATAAAGAACCAAGCAGGGAAAATCATGGAAATCAGGTGTTTAATAGATCCCACATATGCTATCTGACATCATGCACTTCAAATTTCCTATCAAATGGAAGAATTCCTAAATCACAACTATGAACTTGAGTTAGGAAATGTCAAAAGTAATCCAGAATCAACGCCTGGAAATAATTTGACTCGTGAAAAAATGAAATTCCAAGTAATACACTAAAACAAATTTTTTTTAAAAAAAATCAAAAATTACCTCTTCTTTTCTTCACTAACTTAAAAAATTCTTAATTTTTATAGACAGGGATCACGTTGCTATTGATCAACTTAGATGGTTTTAGCACAACAAATGTCAGGATTTCTTTTTTAAACATTACTAAAATACTCACACAAAAAAGGAACCAAAGCGAACAAAAAGATCAAACTTTCCTAAAATGAGATGAAATACTTAAGCTGATGAGGTTACAAGAGAAGAGTATCATCTAACAGAAAAAAAAAATGAGATTTGAACAACCAAATAGTATTGCTAAATGGAAAGGAATTGGTTATAGATGATTGTTTCCATGATCAAATTAATCAACCCAATGAACACATCTTATATAAGAACAAAATTTCATTCACATTTAAGCAATAAATATGTTTAAATTTTAATCAAATAATTAAATTAGGTATGAAAGAGATAACATGGAAGCAGGTTTACCTTGTGTAGAGCTATTTCAACAAACATCTTGTCGGCTATATACGCTGTCGAAAATAGATTTAAACAATCATCCCATAAGCAAAAGATATTACTTTAACAAATAACATGCAGTATAAATGTGCAATTACCATTTGATCTCTTCAGGTGTAAGGTTTTCTAGAACTTCAAAAAATCCCATTACAGAAAACATATGTCATGCATTTCATCAAATAGTTACTGTGCATAACAACAAAACTGATACCTGTAAATTATTGTGGGTAGTAGTGAAGTTGTGTCACTGTTGTGTTTGAACTGAACCAGAAGCATCGGGACGAAACTGATCCCGTTGTAATTGTTGTGTATTAGC